GGGGGGGTCCCAGGTCACGGTGGCGGTGAGCTTCCCGGGCCCTGCAGGCTTGAGTCTAGACGGAGGACACCTGATCTTTGGAGGATCGGTATCTGAAATAAAGAGACTGTGAGACTCAACGGAAGTCTGCTTTGCGGAGGAATTCCGACCCTTAAGTGGAAAGATTTTCCTGAAAGCGCACCTGAACACACGGGCTGCTCTCCGCTCCACAGCCCCCCGTGCAGGCAGGTGCGCGAGTGCTCCCCCTGGATGCGGTAGCCGGGGCGACAGGTGAAGTCGCACCTGGAGTCCACCACGAAGCCCTGAGAGCAGGCGTAGCGCCCGTGAGGGATGAGGGGCAGCACGTGGCAGCGAATCTCTATGAAGCAACACCATAGAAACACAAATGTCAGCCACAACTGTCAAATAAATACGAGCGGTTTCCCTCTTTACACATCTGTTAGGCTCTAAAGGCCTCAACAGATTAGCAAGGCCCTATCCACCACACACACCATGCACTGTGGGGCGAGGACAAAAACATGTGTTAGGCTCAGATGATGAGCAAAATAAGTAACTCAGTCATTTCTGTTGTAGAAAACATGGAGGACTAAAAGCATCCTCATTTGTTCTTTTTTTGTTTAGTTTTTTTCAGTGAAAACTTGCTGGATTAATCTGAACAGATAATGTAAATGTCATATTATTTCCCTGCAGATGTGTGTCTGTCTCCAAATGTGTTGTCTTATCACCAGATTAATGAAACAGCATCAGACATATGTGTAACAGCAGTTGTGGGACACTCTTAGTCCTTTTGGTGTTTGTTGGTGCTCTAACTCCGCCCAGCTGTGTGTTAGTGAGAGTGGGAGTGTGTGCCGGCCTCTTGAATCTAAGTATTTGAAATGCTAATTGTTCAGTCAATAGAGACTGTTTTCAACAAATGAGTAACTTAGTTTGTAATAAGTTACAATTCAGCTACGCACAATAGTGGTTGGTATTCCGAACTGCCTTTGTAATAAGAGAAATAAAGAATATCACCGGTTCTGTCCTCATGTAGGGACTTAGAATCTCCACGTACTGCGGCAGTAAGCGGTCCCCGACCAGCGGCGGTTGGAGAGGCACTGAATGGACCTTCTTCCCACCAGCCGGTACCCCCGGTCGCAGCGCGTCTCGCAGCGGGTGCCCAGCGTGCTCCTGTGGGCGCCGCCGCGAGGGGAGCGGCAGGTCAGCTCACCGTTGGCCAGGCTTGGGGAGTGGCACCAGAGAGGATCTGGTTTCAGGGAGAAGCACATCTAACCATTATGCATCATCAAGAATGTATTCATTTAAAGATGATAGTAAATACATATTAATAGAATTAATTAATACATCTATCAATTCTATTAATACAGTTTATTTTACTGTTCTATTTGTTGCCAAATTCTGAAAAAAAATCTTAAAAATGCCAAATTTCTTCTAAATATCCCCCCTTTCTTTTTTTGCTCTTTATTTACAGATTTAAATGTTTTTTGTGGGTCTGCTGAAGCATAATTGTACGAGCAGAGTTTCCCTCTCAGAAACCGACTCTGTTATGTGGCTTCATACACCTGGAAGCAGGGTGCTTCCGCCGAAGTCTGAAAAAGGTTCAATCTGTGGTAGATTGCAAACGCCACAATCTGCCATCCACAGTGAGGGCGTGTAACACGTACTCACTTTGGTAGTCGAGTTGAGGACCGTCATCCTCTGGCACAAACTCACTGTAGCCGTCGTCCTCCGTGGTCGCAGTTCCAGCTGAAACAGTGATAACCGGACAGCCAGATACTTCAGATGTAGGTCATACAATGTGGAATTTCAACTATTTAGGCTCAAGTTTGCTTTAGTAGCAAGCAGAAAAACATCTGGACCTGTAATCAGAGACTAAAGGAGACCCCAGTGGGTTTTGAGCTTTTGCAAATAGCTGAAACATCCTGTTTTCTATCAGAAATGTGTGGAAACGTAGGCTCACGCCAGAAGACATGGGTTGTTTATCCATCTCATCTGTCTGTTTGAATTCACATTTATTGCTAACAATAACACAGCATCTCACCAATTTTTAGAAAGTAAGTCTGATTCTTAACGCTTGCACATCGCAGCCATCAAATGATGACGGAGCGGCTAACTAACTCTGGACACGTCCCCACGGGGAAATTGGGCCTCCCCTCTCCCCTGTATTCTCCAGAACATCAAGACTGAGGATATGATCTGGATGGGAGCACATCTCTGCCGTCAAGCTGGGATTAAGGTGAGGACTGTGGTTAAGTCTCCCAATTCTCGCTCTATTTCTTAATTATTTTGATTTTGTAGTTCTCTGGTCATTGTATAGTTGAAAGAATAATAATTACAGCCAAAGACTGACGGCCAGATGGTTTGTCACAGAATCTCCATGTAGAGTTCCTGATTGATCTAATTCATTTCACAAGCTGTCCTGACCTATGAACTAAAAACAAAGCCCCTGCAGTAGAATATCACCATCCCCCTAAACAACAACACATGACACACAGCCAGTGTGATGAAGAAATGCTTCATAAACAATAACCCGAAAGTTTTGGACAGGCTGGAATCTTGCTCACATCCCAGAGATACCCTAAAAGATCCGTGGAAACGATGTTACCCTTTGGAATCCAACTGGAGAGGCGCAGAAAAGCTTGTAAAGATGTCAAAACTTGGACAGAAAATTGTTTCATAATCTCATCCTGTGTTTGTATAATTTCCGTTAAGATAAACCCGCCATTCCCATAAACATTCTCTGTTAGCCAAAGCTCTGAACTTCAGCTGGGATGGAAAGGGGGTCGCTTTCTGCCAGTGATTGTGTTATGAAACCTCGTTACTGAAAAGAACTCGGGGCCAGCAGCGTGTTTGCATTACCGGCTGGATGCTGTTCTCACTGCTCATCACTCTCCATGTTTGGCAGCATG